CCCTAATAAATTTGATATGCTCCTCCTCTGACCAGTTATTCAAATTGGACAATGGTTTCGTTGTTTTAATAACAAAAATGTCGTCCTCTTTGGCTAGTGCCGCCCACTGACAGTACAGGATCTTTGACGTAAACATGCACAAAGCCAGGATACGACAGTAACCGTGAAGACCAATGACCTGTGAAAACAAGAAAACGAAATAAGGAAAACTATGCCATTGTAAAGACAAGCAGTTGAGAAACAGCTTATATTCTTGTTGTGGCAAATGAAAAACTGCATGAAATGTCTGCTTGGATAAATGCATGAAATAACGTGATGTACAGAGGAAAAGCATAGGGATTGGGTGGGGTCTGGTGAGGTCTTGTGCTGGACGTGCCGCTCATCCGGAAAGTGACTTGCATTCAAAAACTTCTCGTTTCCATAGTGTAGTGATCGCCGCGTAGCCACCGTCTGGCTTGCTAGGTACTAAGGCTATCATTGTAAGGCTATTTCGAAGGCTTCAAAAACGTGTCCATAGCCGCGCCTACAAGGAGATTCCCCGTTCTCGCAAAGACTGCTATTGTGGCGCCACCGAGTGCCCGACCGGATAACTGGGCTGGGCAGGCCTAGGCTGAGCCCTCAAACCTGGTTGTAAATCTGCCTAGGAGAAGGAAATTTCTCATTTCGAAACTCGGGCAGATGAAGCTTGGCAACCCTGGCACGCAATTCAACTAGGACAAGGCGTAAGTCTGAGGTAACACCCTCGAAGTGTCCAGGGGTGATGGACAGACTAGGAGGGCAAAGATCCTTGGTCCATGAAAGCCCTAGGGTTTCAACATCCGTGCCCCGACCATTGGAGTATAGCTTCGCTGCCTTGTGGAATATCTGGGAGAAGGAAAGGCTAAGGAGTAAACCCTGCAGAAATCCGGAGAGGAGCCCCTAAGGCGGATCATTGTGAACATGATTACCTGCCAACAGCTCCGGCAATCAAGCTGGTGCCAAATATTTTGCTCTGCTCTCCTTTGGACTACATCAGTGAGGCCGAGAGGTGGATCCTGACCACTGGGCATCCCAGTCTCCCCAACACGGGAGGCAGCAGTTACGGGTCATAAGTCCAGGCCTACTGGCGTAGGTCCATGCGCTACAGGCTGCCTCCGACGGTGGGAAGGATCATCGCGTCCCACCGGTCAGCTACTACCCGCCTCAAGCTGGGCATCCTGGCCTCCAGCCAGTAAGGTGCTGACTCGCCACAGTCTGCCTGCTTCATTACGTGCTTGAAGCTTAGGGGAAAGCCTTTTGATCTCAAAGGCTCAAAATCGACATCGCTGCACTGCAGGAGACTAGACTCCCATCAGACGGCAGCCTCGGATAACAGGACTACACTTTCTTTTAACAAGGGAAGGAACCAGAGGACCCAATGTTGCTGGGCGTTGTATTTGCAGTGAGAAATTCTCTCCTGTCCCCTATAAAGCCGCACCACCCAAAGGCACAGCCCGTATCCTCTCTCCTCGCTTCTCCACCTCCTCAGACCCAGTGATCATCCCGAGCATTAACGCTCCATCAACCTGCTCTTCAGCCGAGGTCAGGGATGAGTTTTATTAGGAATTAGAGACAACCATCTGAGAGATTCCTGCCACATAATACCTGTTCTTGCTCTGGGACCTCACCGCCCGTGTGGGAGCTGATCAGGACTCTTGGCCCCGCAGCATCGGCCACTTTGGCGTCGGCAAGTTGAACGTGGACGGTCACAGACTATTGTAGCTGTGCTCTTGCCACAACATCTGCATGACCAACACCTTATTCTCAACCACGTTTAGCCACGGAGTATCTTGGCGGCACCCCAGATCCAGTCACTGGCACCAGCTGGATCTTGTTATCACCCGAAGACCCTTCTCAACTGCATCCTCAGTACCCTCAGTTACCACAGCGCTGACTGTGACACCGACCACACTCTAGTTGGCAGCAAGGTGCGTCTTCAACCCAAACGAGTCCACCGCTCCACGCAGAAAGGACGCCCACGCATCACCACAGCCAGGACAGCAATCCGAGACCTGTGTGAGGGCTCCGCTGACTTCACTGAAGAGGCCCTGAGAGACTGCCACACAACAAGCGCTGAAGAAAGATGGAACCACATCCGTGTCACCACCTACAAATCAGCCATGGACACCTTCGGCAATAGAGAGCGGCAGAACGTAGACTGATCTGAAGCTGGCACTGTCGAACTCGAGCCAGCAATTGCGGCGAAGCGAGCAGCACTGCTCGAGACCCTTTGATTAGACACTCTTCGCACTGAGGAAGGCCAGGAACGATATCCAACGGATCACTCGACGCCGCCTCAACGACAACTGGCTGAATCTCTGTCAAAGCATCCAACTATCCGCTGACTGCGGGAACATCCGCACCATGTATGATAGCATAAAGAAAGCCTTCGGTCTAAGCGCCACCAAAACTGCACCCTTGAAGTTATCTGCTGGTGACATCATTACAGACTGGGCGAAACAGATAGAGAGATGAGGAGAACACTACAAAGAGCTCTACTCAAGGGAGAATATCGTCACTGACGCGGCAGTTGAGAGTATCATCCTCCTGCCTGTCATGGAAGATTTTGACGGTCTACCCTCAGTAGACGAACTCCGCAAAGCAATCAACGGTCTAGCCTGCGTTAAAACACTAGGCAACGACGACATCCCACCAGAGGTCATCAAGGCTGGCAAGAATACTGCTCTCGTTCATCATCTGCACGACCTGCTGCTGCAGTGCTGGGAGGAACAGTAACGTGACGCCAACATCATCACGCGCTACACGAAAAAGGAAGACCACAGCGACTGCAACAACTATCGACGAATATCCCTCCTCAGACTGCGAGATTGCTCTACAGAATTATCAAATTCACCGCTGTGATCTGTGTGACTTGATAAGAGGCGGTGGTGTTGCCATGTATGTGAGCTGTACTCTTCCCTGCCGTAGGATTCACCTGCTGGATCCATCTACAACTGACTTCGAATATCTTTGCTTAGAGACCAAGCAACATCGTTTGGGGACAAAGATTTTATTTATTATCTACCCGCCCGCCAAACTCAAATCCTGATTTCTGTATGTCCCTGGAGAAAATGATAGAAGTTTCTATGAGCACATATAACGATGTAATTGTGGTTGGTGACTTCAATGTTGACCTGATAACAGTTAAAGGGTCCTGTAGGCTATCCACAATATTCCAAGATGCAGGGATGGAACAGATAATATCTGCTTCTACCCCCACAAGAGTTACCCGATGTTCGGCTCCACTGCTAGATCATGTTTATGTTACGCATCCTGAAAAAATCATCGAAAACCCATATATGTCCCCATATATGGACCAAGTGACCATTATCCGGTGTGCTTCGTACACAGGTCTCGTGGCCCTAAATCACCAAAATCGCATCATGACACCATTGAATACGGAGCTCCAAGAATTTTGACGAGGATGGTTTTATTTACGATCCATACACTACTCCATGGACGCTGCTTGACATGTCTGAAAATGTAGATGACAAGCCGGACACGTGTACGAACTCACGACAAGAACTCATGAGAAACTGTTCGCCGATTGGGCACAATAATACAAAGCATTTTTTGTGCCCAATCAGGAGCCAGCATTCGCTTGACCGTTTGGAAATGGTCCGGTGAGAGTCGGTACACAAGGGCTCTTCCGCCCGTGCTTGAAAACTTTCGTCGGGCCTTTTCTCCCGGCCCGACTGACTGCCCCTGGGTCTCCGAGGATGTGCTAGCCGATGGTTCACGTCAAATCAAATGGTCCCTAACGTAAAGAAGACAAAACCACTCCTCATTGCCGCACGATAGAAACTGCAACAAGTGAATCAGCCAACCTTGGATCTTTACTTGAACGGCAACCGTTTAGAAGAAGCCGAGAATGAAAATTCCTGGGCGTCAGGGTGGACAATCACCTTACCTGGCACAGCCATATTGAATACGTAATTGGGAAACTGAATTCAAGAACTTATTTACTTAAAAGAGCCATGGCTACCTCAATCTCCACTGCAGAAAATTGTTATTCATTGCACTCGTGAAACCTATCTTTGAATACTGTTGCTCGGTTTGGGGTAATGCCCCAAACGACCAGCTGTTGAGAATTCGCAGAGTTCAAAAACGCTGCAGTAGATTAATACTAGATGCCAGGCTATTAGATAATTCCGCACAAATGTTCCAGAATCTACAGTGGCTGCCGATTGACGACATAATACGCATAAAAAAACTCTCTATGACGTTCAAAATTGTGAACAAGGAATGTCCAGATTATTTCAAAAGTTATAGAACATATAAAAAATACCCATAGCTATAACACTCGATTATCTTCTAATAATGCCTTGGCTGTACCGAAATGCCGGTCTAACGCGGGTCTGCGAACATTTCATGCGAGCGCGACTCGCCTTTGGAATCGTCTAGACGACAAGCTTAAAAACATGACAAATGAAGGTAGCTTTAAGAAACATTTGCTCGAGATATTCTTAAACATTAATGCAAGTCGCAAACATTGTAGTATTACAAGGACATTTTAAGGTACTTTTTTGTTTTGTTTTTTTTTTTATCTCGATTGTACTGTACTAATTAGGTAACTATTTTTAACCATTTTCAATTTTTTACCCTTTAACTTCCTTTTACGTTATCTTTTATATTTTAGAATTATTTGTAGATTGGGCCCACAATGTAAACTACAGGGCTAGCCAGTAATAGTGAAAGCCATTTAAGTTTTATTTATTTATTTATTTATTTAGTATCATTGGGAAGGCCTTTGCCCGTGTAGCGGTGAGCGGGTTGCAGACGTTATCAGAACGGGTGTACCCTGAGACGCAGTTTCGGCTCAGAGCAGGAAGATCAACAATGGACATGATCTTTTCATTGAGGCAGCTGTAGGAAAGATGTCGCAAGCATAGCAAGCCCTTATACATCGCTTGTATTGACCTGACTAAGGCCTTTGATCTAGTCACCAGGAAAGGCCTATTCACTCTTCTGCAGAGGATTGTATGTCCCCGAAGCTCGTAACGACGATCGCGTCTTTCCATGAAGACTACCAAGGTGCCGTCCAGTACGACGGCTCATCCTCGGACCCCTTTCTAATCAAGAGTAGAGTGAAACAGGGCTGCGCGTGTACTAGTTCCCGAACTCTTCGACACCTTTTTCTACCTACTGCTGTCCTACGCCTTCAGCCAGTCAGGCGTGTAAATCCACACCTCTTCAACCTTGCACGCCTCCAAGAAAAGGCAAGGTGCGTAAGTTAATGATTTATTTATTCATTTATTTTATTGACATTATTTAGTCAGAGATGCCCGAATGGGCTCTGAGTCAATAGCCCATGAGGCCGAAGGCTGAGTGGGCTATTAACTCAGAGGCCATGAGGGCGAGAGAAATAATTGTTTTAGTAAAATCCAACTAGTTGGTCAAAAATATCGAGACAAAACAACTTTAGCAAGCAAAACGCGATTCAGCCGCCATTGTTCTGGTTTTCAAAGCCGGCGCTTTTCGCTACTAGTGGGCTATAACATATAGCCTAGTAGTAGTTCAACCAATCGGAACGCACCATTGATAATAGACCACTAGTTGGCTTTTACTAAAATACAATGGTATATCAAAAGTAAGGGATGCCTTTTGAGGCCAGACTTAAATTTTTCAATATCATGCTCGCTGCTCGCTCCTCAGGTCCAGGGGAAGCATGTTCCAAATCGTGGCTCCGCTGAACGTGAAGGATAAGGGATAAGAGAGATGCTGTTTGTAGACGAAGCTTCCCTGACCGCAAACACTGAGGATGCTCTACAGTTACTCATCAGCTGGTTCGCACACGCTTGTAAAGAGTTTGGTCTCACCGTCATTCTTAAGAAGACTAACATCCTTGGCCAAGACGTTAGCAGCATGCCAAGCATCTCCATTGGCGACTACACTCTTGAGGTTGTGGAGAACTTTATTTAACTAGGCTCCACCATCTCCAGTAACCTCTCCCTAAACACCGTACTGAACCAACGGATCGTCAAAGCAGCGGTAGCACTGGCAAACCTTGGAAAGAGGGTCTGGGACAACACCTTGTTGACCATTAGCACCAAGACGAAGTTGTACCAGTCCTACGTGCTCAGCACACTGCTCTACGGCAGCGAGACCTGAACCCTCTACTCCTGCCAAGAGCGTAGACTCAACATCTTCCACCTGCGCTGCCTCAAAAGGATTTTCGACATCACCTGGGAAGAACGTGTCCTAAACAAGGATTTCCTGGCACAGGCGGGAGTACCTAGCATGTTCGCCTTGCTCAAACAGAGACGGCTGCGCTGGCTTGGCCACGTCAGAAGTATATAGGATGGAAGAATTCCCAAGGACATGCCCTACGGCGAGCTTGCCACTAGAATTATACCTGCAGGATGGCCTACCCTTGCTTTAAAAACGTTTTTAAACGTGATCTGAAGGAAGGAAATGTCAACCCAGCGGATTGGAAAGCTGTAGCTGCAGACCGAAGTCTCTGGAGGCTTGCTATCAAGGGAGGAATTTAGACGAGTGAGAAGAGGAGAGAGGAGCAGTGGGACAAGAGGAGAGAGCGCAGACGGCAGTGGACAGCATTAGCACCCACAAAGCTAAGAGCGGAATTCATCTGCAGCAACTGCAACAGAGCCTGCCGACCCAGAATTGGACTGTACAGCCACAGCAGGCGCTGCAACTCAACCACAGACTAAACCTAGGCGCAGACTTCATTGTCTCCTGGAACAGACGGATGGCAACAACTAAGAAAAATGGGCTGGTTTTTTTAAAAAAATTAGTAAAAGAAAAACAGTCCTAAATGGTTACCCTGTTTGCCGTCATCACCCCTACAGCAGCTGCCCCAGGTTTGGATCCCTCGATGCCAACGTCGCCAAGACTCGTCTTTCCATGGAGGTAGGGCACTTTACTGTTGATTGACAGAAATGAGTTCATCTTTTTGTCTCTATAACAGATTGTACCACCAGGATAAGGACAGAAGCCAGATTTGTGGGGATCAACAGTGATTGTATCACAATAATGGAGAGCTGATAACTGTTCATGGACGTAGGAGCTAAGGTAAATTTCTGGAACAAATCTTGCTTCTTTGGCTGTTGGCGTCGGACTTCTCTCAGGCTGCGCGCGCAGCATGCTACAGAAATATCCTCCCCAAGCTGCATCCGCGTGAATGCTAAAGTTCAGACCCTAGTTGTTAAATACAAAAATGGAGTGTTAAGAAAATGTTCCTTCAGAGTACCATATTAATCGCATTGCTAGTTTGGCTAAGAGAAACAAGGTATTTAAGGGTCTATACAGAAAAAACGAAGTAGAGATAATAATAAGGAGTTAAAGCAAATCACTACGGCAGGTGATAATACGTTTGTCGTGGCCGAGGAGATCTTGGGTGAGTACTTTGACGCAGCCCACCAAGCAATAGCTTCACCGGCGAAAAATGTCTACGCTTGCGCTGCGAACATGTCTATTGTGGTAAGTTCAACAGATTACTAGTTCCTAGCGCTCGCGAAGACGAGGAAACCGTGTTGTTCTCATTTACAATTTCAAAGTGTCGATAAACAACAAATCGTGATCAGTTGTGTTTCCATCACGTCTTCATTAAATTAGACTCCGGCACTGCAATGAAGTTATTTTTCATATTCTGGGTACAGTTGTTATTTTTGCGTTATTATCCGTTTCATTTTAAAGCAAGGTGGAGGTTGGGATCTACAAAGTTAAGTTTTGTTTCACCCCAAAATTAAAATTTGGCTTCAGACCCCTGACACTTTTGTGTTCCTTTGTGATGTGGGAATTCCACTGAATGAGTGACAGTTGCACATGTACAGTACATTCTGTCAAAATTTAGTACCATGTTACTGGTGTTCCGTGATATACTTCATGTCGGATGCTTGCTTTGAGGTCGGAATTCAGTTTCCGAAATACTGTTTGTAACGCGTGGAGTTTTTAAGGTTTTAAAATGAGCGGAATTGCTGCCTACTGATAAAGTAAAGTGTCTGATTTAATTAAAAGTGATTGAAAGTTTACTCCAGCCAAATTTTGGTTTCATAGACCATATAGAACAAAACATCTCAGCATTTTAGTTAATAGTTCTTGACAATTCCTGGGTTCTTGTGAAAATCCGAAAAACTAATTTGTGTCATGAGAATCGGCTTTCACCAATGAAACTACAGTTACTCTTCTGCAATATGGCGTAGAAAATTAATATTGGTTCTGGTGTTCTTATTGCTCAAAATTGAGCTTGAAAGGGGCTCTCTTACCATCAAAATCTGCTTCTTTAAGATATGGCGCGACATCACTTTCCCACGAACCATTTCGGATATCTAATGAGACTCGAAGAAAACTTGTGATATGTGGTTTAGAAACTGCAACAGTGGTAAAAATGTCCTTTTTTTGTCTTGCAGATGCAGCTGTTTTAGAGTAGATCCATTTTATGTCTTCACAAATAAAACTAAACCGTTATTATCTTTCTGACCGTGTTCTGTCAACTACAATTGGACATGATATCTCCAACAAGCAACCGATGACCTGTGGCGTCCCACAAGGCTCTGTTCTAGGACCTTTACTGTTTTATTATATGTCAACTATATCCACAAGTCATCTGATTCTACTTGTTTGCTGATGACACAAATCTATTATGTGCTGATAAAAATCTTTGAACCCTGGAGCTTGTTGTGAACCTGGAATTCCATAAAGTTTATGAATGGTTAACAGCCTATAAGCTAACGCTAAATGTTAAAAAGTCGAACTTTATTATCTTCCATCCTCACCAAAAGAAAATTAACCATCAACTTAACCTCAAACTACTTGATAATGATCCCAAAACTTTTTTGCCTTTAGAACAAAAATTGTATGTAAAATATTTATGAATAGAAAACAAAAAACTAAGACGTTCGTTAAAAAGAACAATCAAGGGATTTCAAACTCACGTGTTAGATAATGCAACAAATCACTGCTTTAGACGAAGAAGGATGTGCCGTTACGACTGCACTTGAACGCCTGCCATTCGCAAAAATTATTTGCTGTAGTAGAGCCCGCCATAGAGTTTTGCTTAAACTCCTATTGATAATGTTGAAGATGATTCATGATACGACGAAGATGGGAACAATCATGATGAGGATGATGAAGACAGTGGCAAGAATTTCAGAAATGAAGTCACATAAAGTTCACGTTGTTCTTACCTTGGTTCTAAACTTTCCGCGCAAATGGACAATTGCATTCACTGGATCCACGGCGCTTTGCTCTGTTGTTCCTGTGATAGCTACTAATGTAATGACTGGAATTTCCTTATCCAACGTTTCTTTTAGTTTGCGGTTCAAATCTAAATTAAAAGTTGGTACAAAAAATGCTAATGGTCTTCGATTCAATGACCAGCAACTCATGCTGATCTCAATAAACGGCACAAATAACATACATATGACCACTTGAATCAGTAAATAGGCCATTTTCGAGCTGTCTCAAAAGCAATCCTCTATTTTAAAGCGAGGCTAATGGCAAAGCCATTGATGTGAAAATGTTTAGTTAAGCTCATGTAAATAAAACTCATTTTCACAAGAAAGGTTTCTCACTTGACCTCATTTTGAAAGTGAGGTTTTTTGGAACTCGGAAATGGACTATTAATTACTCGGGCTGTTAATGTTAATTAAATACATCCTGTTATTTTTCCTGTGCTCGTGTTTTCTTTCTTTCTTTCCTATTTTTAACATATAATGAATGACTTTACGTGAAAACCAAGCATAAAGAAGCGTAAGGAAGACACAATAACCCGTCAAGCGAGTAATCCATTCCACCACATCGATAACGTCAGTACAAAAGCTAGTGTTGTATTATCTTTTATGCCAAAAAAAAGCTAGGTTACTGTGTTCCACTGCAAGGAGAGAATGTAAATCTGCAAATGGCTATAATAGATAGAAGATAACCCTATAAAAACTTTACCAACCAGTAGGATCCATCCGCGAGTTTTCATCAACTGCTACAGAAACAAGGCTCTTTCTACCAAGTCCGAGGATGGTGGCTGCTTTCGTTAAGGAACCATGCAATGTGCTCGGAACAACAATGTACGGACTTTGCGTTAGCATATGTCGCCGTACAAACTCCTGCGCTCCAATGAACTCATAAAGATACTCTGACATGATTTCCGTAAATTCTTGATGTCCGAGGCTTGTTAAAGCTTGTACATCAGAAGGCATTTTTAAAATAGTGTCGACATCAAGGTTAAGAAGTTCCCACTGTGACGCGCTGACTAATTCTCTTTCTTTTCCTCTCTGAGGGAAAAAAACCTGAACGGAGTAAAATGAACTTAGAAAAACACATAGACAACAGTAAACACCTAATGACTGGTTACGAGACAAACACTTAAATTCTGTTTTCCGATAAACTCAATTTGTCTTCCAAGCTGAAGCCGAAGGAAACGTTGGGATTCAACGGAAAGAAAATACACTAGTTTCCCGAGGGAGCAGTCATAAGGGTTACTTATTTAAAGAATGTCTAACTTAGATCGCGATTTAAAACAATCATTTGACCTCCTTTTCTGTTTATAAATGAGTTATTTAAAGGAGAAAAATGCTCCTCTATTCTGCTCTTTATGCCTTCTTGCGCTGTTCACGGTAAGTAAAGATTACATGCTACCGTTGCCCGAAGTGAAAACGGATTAAAAACTAGTTTTGTTAAACAGTGGCTAAACTCCGTTTTAATAGCCGGCCCTTGATATGGTAGCAAGTGCAATTAACACATTCACACCTAAAAAAAATCTCGTGACTTAAACAAACCTCCATAACGGAAACGGGGAGCTTTTAATGGCCATTCGTAAAAGAAAACATTGTGGTAATCACTTAAGCGTGATCCCAATAATGCTGGTACACGCGAAAATTCTCGAAAGATGAGACAAAAAAAAAATGTCTTGTCATCCGGCAAGAAGGAATTACCTTACTGAGATTGCCAATGAAGTCCACTCCTCT